TTTTTTTTCTTCGGCGGTTCGTTACGTGAACGAGCGTCGATTCGTCGGTTCAGTTCCTCTTCCCTCGCGTCGCAGCGAATTCTAGAAAGGAAAAAACGTGGGAAACCGGGAAATTTCTAATCAGCAATATGTATTAGCAGCATTGTTCAACGATTAACGACTCGGCGGCTTTTTCCCTTCGAGGGTTCTCCGCTTGGAAGGATCGGTTTCTCGTGCGGTTTCTCGCTAAAAACTCGCGAATTTCTATCTAAGGAGGGAGGGGGAAAAAAAAAAAAAATCGAAAGCGAGGAGAATTAAGAGTTTCGTTGCTCACTTACTCATGACCCTCCGCAGCCTAATGTTTTTATTTTGCTTTCGCCCCGTTTTTCTCCTGCTTCGCCAATTATTTTTGATTATCTCCAATCTTTTTGATAATTGGGATAAACGAATCTGTTTTGTGAGTGAAATGAAGTTTCTCGATCTTGTTCTATCATTTCGTAAGTGACCAAAGATCAAATTTTGCCAGAGACATTTCAAATGTTTCGCTGTGATCGACCACTCGTCTTCTTTCGCTTGATTCTCTTATATCGCGTGTATTTCAGCCTTTTCTGACAACTACACTAATTTCATCGATTTCACATTCATTAGGCAAAGCCGCAATTAAGAGTAAACGTCGTTAGAGACGCGAACGCGCGTCGATTCCTTGGAATCCTTCACGATCCGTCAGAAAATGTTTCTCGCAATTGGTACACGTAGTAGACATTGCGAGAAATATCCATTAAAAGAAAAGAAAAAAAAAAAAAAAAAGGAGAGATAAAAATCGCGTGGTCGCTAATGTGATCAACAGCATACAAAAAAATATAATTACGTTCGAAGTGTCTACTCGAGCGTGTGAAGATTTTTTTCACATGTCAGTTCCCTGGCTGTACGTAGAGCTGGTTAGATAGGTAATTACCGGAGTGAGTGGATCTTGGAATATTAAACGAACGACAATAATAATGATAATACGTTTTTCTCTGTGTCTCGCATCGACGATCCTCTATCTCGTTGTTGGCCACTCTTTTCTTTTCGTCTCGTTCATGTGTGACAAAAGTGAGTCACACGTTTCTTAGTTCGGTTCGATCTGTTGCAAGATATTAGAATATTAGTCGATATTATACATATTAATACTGTAAGGTTTTTTTTTTTTTACAAAATTATAACAATATGATATAACAGAAAGAAAACTTGAAAACAATTTCAAGATGATTTAATTAAATTTAAATTTACTTAAATTGTATTTAAATTTATTTAATTTTTACATTTTATATTATTTTAAATCATATAATTTATATTATATAAATATAATTTATATTATTTTAAATTATATAATTAATAATTTAAGTATATAATTAATTATTTTATATTTAATATAATAATTTAAATATATAATTAATTATTATATATTTAATTATATTTAAATTGTATAATTAATGATTTAAATATAATTATATTTTATATTTAAATTATAATTAAATTTAAATTAAAATTTACTTAAATTACATTTATTATATTTATTATGTAAATTTACTATCTACTTAAAATAACATTTAATATTTACGTAAATTTAATTTGAAACGTACAAAAGCTGTACTTTTTCAAAAGTACAAAATCTTTTTAAAAAAAACGCCAAAGGATTGGAACTTTTTACTTCGAAGATTGAATTTTAATTTCAATACGTGTTAATAATGGATAGTTTTTTTTTTTTTTTTTATTTCAATTAAATTATTCAAATGCGCTCAGAGCGTTTCCCTGTCAATTCACTCAAATTATTGCAGTTAACGTACATAAATACGATACAACATATTTGACAGCTTCCTTTTCTAAATATTAATTTAACGCCATGTAACTACAAACCGTAGAAAGTCATGAAATAATTTCTCCCGCGTCGTGTTTCAATTTGCGGCTCGTCAAATTCGATCTCGACGATCGAAGATAACGTGTTAGGGAGAAGTCGCAACGAAAAGGAATCAGGCAAGGCAAACAGTTGTTTCCGATCGCGATCATGCGACGCAGATTACAGTGAACTGGACAAATTACACGCTATCAGCGCCGTAAACCCTTTAGATTCATTGGCCTTATCGTTATTTATGTGACTGCTCCCGACGACCTGCTGCAACTCCTTCTTCGCCTGTTTCTTCTTTCTTTCTTTCTTTCTTTCTTTCTTTTTTTTCTACCGTTTCTCCCCCTTCGTCTTGTTTCCCCCAAGGCGATGGAGCACACAGGAAACACGCCGAGGTGAAGGCGGAACGAGATAGATCCGAGTTTCTCTTTATTCTGCGTCGAGTAACTGTTCGCGAGCGCGAACAATAGAGAAGAATTCCGGGATTTTGCAATCGACCTTGGGGATCCGCGAATCCTGTCTGCCTCGAAGGAAACAGTCTTGAAAATGATAGGAGCGAAGAAGTATGTTTCGCGGGGGAATTTTTATACTGCGCCTTGTGATTGAATTTGAAATGAATGAAAACTGATAAGAATGAAGGGAAATAGAGATGGTATGGAATTTTGTCGTTTTTTTTTTTTTTTAATAAAATATATATATAATAAATAACAATAATTATAAATTTATATAATTAATTATACAAATTTAATTATATATATATATATAATGTAAATTTGTATAATTAATTATATAAATTTATATAATTATTATGTTATTTATATAATTAAATATTAATAAATTTGTATTTTCACACGTCTGAAAAATTGTAGAATCTTTGCAATAAAAGACTTGAAAGATTGGGGAATTTTATTTTGAAAATGTTAGTTGTTATCAATTATCTTATTAATTTTCATAGTGTTTGTGGTATTATTACACACAAGTGCACACATAGTGTTTATGTTTAGTACCAATTAGGGTATAATTAAAACGAAGTTATAATTAAATGTACAGTACGATTAAAATATCATTGAAAATGAATGAAATCATAAGATGAAACACATATTGGTAGATGGAAGATTTTGTGGTTTTCGGAATAAATTGATTATTTTTAATTTATTTATTTGTACAAGGTACAAACTCTTTTATACGACGTAAGATGTATAATGTAGAGAACAGTACTATCGAAAATGAACTGAAATGAAAATTAGCGGATATATTGACGAGAATTTTAATATAAAATTTTTATATTAATTGCGAATGCATAAAAATCGATAGTTTACTTTTAGCCTATTTAATATATCATAATTTTGCAAAATCTTATTTCATCATTCTTATTGCATAAAAATCCATAATTTACTATCTATAGTGATCTTCTAGTATTCTAGTTTATTTAATATATATATATAAAATTTATCGAGATTTTATTTGATCCAATAGATTAGAAACATGTATAACGTAGAATAATTTTATGTGAATTTTTTACAGACTGTAAAACTTCAGACTTCATTTTTATTTTCTTTGTAACAGAGTTGGGGTCGATACCTGGTCAAGGACGTATCAATCAGCTCGGTGGTGTCTTTATAAACGGGAGACCATTGCCGAATCACATTCGGCTAAAAATTGTTGAACTGGCAGCTGCTGGCGTTAGGCCTTGCGTTATTTCAAGGTAAACATCTTGACAATCTTAAAACTTTACTTTGCTTAAATCAAATCCTCAAAGAATATATAAAATTTCTCTCGAAATATTTAACTTGTTATAATTTATCTATTTTATCTTATTTTACTCTAATTTTTTAATTTCTAATATCTAATTTTATATCAACGTTGCGTCAACATTTAATTTCTAATTCTTCTCGATTAATTTGTGCTACTATATTCCGGCTTTTGATACAAAGAGAAATTCCAACTATTCAGTTAACATTTTTTTTCTTTTTTTTTTTTTTATCACTACGTCTTCCACGTATTATTCTATAATTGTATGAAATTTAAAGAAACTAAAATACGAAATGCCATTAGTTGATTCTAATTTAACCTTACTGTTGCTTTCTACAAAGAAACTATATTATTAGTTAAATACTTAAAACTTGAAATTTTATTTTTCAAGTTTTAAGTATTTAACTAATAATATAGTTTCGTTTGTTCAAACGATTATTCAGGCAATTGAGGGTGTCCCATGGATGCGTTTCGAAGATTTTAAATCGATACCAGGAAACAGGAAGTATCAGGCCAGGAGTGATCGGAGGTAGTAAGCCCAGAGTTGCCACACCGGAAGTGGAGGCTAGAATCGAGGAATACAAACGTGATAATCCGGGAATATTCTCGTGGGAGATTCGCGATAGACTGATCAAAGAAGGAATCTGTGATAGAACCAGCGCTCCCAGCGTCTCCGCGATCTCGAGGCTTCTCAGAGGTCGCGATTCCGACGACGACACCAAAGTTGAGAGTAAGTCTTGTCTTCGATTTTTCATCCAGCGAAATTCACTCGCCAATTAATCTTCTGCGAAAGATACAGCCCCTTGCTAATACTTGAGATTATGTTAATCCCCCTTAAGGACTCGCTTGAACTTTTGAGAAAGTTCGTTTCATTATCGAATGGTGGATCGTTCATTTCTTGAGGAAAATAAATTTACACTGTGCATCATAGATCTTGAAAATAGAAAATTATATAAAATTACACGTCGATTGTGATATTTTATAATATTGAATGTATATTAAAGAATATTCTTACGTGTACAATACGAATACAATTAAAATACTTTCAATATCTCGAAACAGTGGAAAATGGACACGCTTCAAAATAAATGTTTAACGTTTGTATAAAAATGTTATTATTCGAAAAGGAACTCAAATTTTTATTCGTATAATTTTTCTTTTTCTTCTAATTTAATAATACATCAACTGACCTTTGTTTTGGGCCAGTCAGTAGATTTGATATAATCTGGTATGTGTGATGTTCCTTCAGTATAACGATTAACAATTAGGGGAATCTAATGGTTTCATTCTTTTGAGCCTTCTGATTTCCCCTTCATTATTAATGAGAAAAGTAACTAGCTCATTGGGATGATTGACTAGCTTCTGTTTGTGGGACATAGCAATTTGTTTAACTAGTACATGTTTCATTCGGAGATCCTTGGAGATCATTATTAACATACCATGGGGCTGATGTTACTGTTCTGAGAGCCTTATTTTCTAGTTTCTGTGTGACGTCGATATTTGATTTTGAATCACGTACGACGAAATCGATGTAACGGCGACCTGCACAGTATAATTATTCGTAACATTCAGATACGTGGTATTACGTTTACGCCAGGCAATAAATGTGAGCTTAAAGGGTTAAAAATACTGCTATTTATTTAAATAGCACTATTTAAATAAATACCGCTATTTATTAAACTAACTGTTCAATCGACTTATACTTAAATTACATTTATGATGTTCGTGCGTCCGTGTTATTTTTAAAAACACTTCGAACGCGTTAACTTAAAGATCGGTACCAATCACGTCGATCCAAACAGAAAAGATGTTACTAGCAAGATGCTCAATATTATGATCGTTCGGCGAATTTTTGCAATTCCACATTTAAATTGGATATAATTTCTTTAATAATGTGTCGGCATCGCATCGGGAAATTGCACGTTAAACACGGTGTATTCCCCTTCCGATCGCTTTGACAAAAACTTCTCTCCTTTCGATCGAGAGCACGCTGGACACTCGGTGGTGTCGTCTCTTCCCAACCCCGCTCTGACCAAGATTGATGATCCAGGTGAATCAGTGAATTAGCCTCTCGCAAATATTCCCGTAACAGCGCCACCGTGCAAAATTAGATTATAACAACAGCCGGCTCATAATTTGGTCCTCGGGGCCCTCGTTATGCGGCTTCCCTCGAAATTGAATCGGCCGGCCACCTTTTTGCATCCCCTAATTCTCCTCGCGAATAACAGGGACATTATTCTTCGCATTTATCCAGGATTTTTGTGACTTTGAAATTTCACAAAATTGCGACAATTCCCGATTGTTATCGCCCGCTTTGCCCTCGATTCCATTTGTCTACTCTGCGCTTTTATTTTATTTTGTTCTCACACTTGTTTCACTCTTAAAATACTGCATCTGTATACCTTAAAATATCTTCTAAACTATGCATCTTTTGTAGAGAATTGTTGATCAATGCGTCGATTAAGTAGATTGATAAATTTTTGATAAAAATACTCGGAGGTGATCTTGAAATCTCCGAAAACTCTCGATCTAAAAAAAAGAGAAAGAAATCATTTGAGTTTGACATGAGAGTTTATGTAAAAACTATTTATTAAATGCAACTTTGAATTTTATAAAATTCACTTCGATGAAGCGTGATTTTAAATTTTATAAAATTATTATAAAATTAAAATTGAAAATTAAACATTATTAGTTATTACTCTTCGCGACGTGCGTTTCTCAACGTGAAGTTAAATTAAATTAAAGTTGGCATAATTCCAATTGTTGTCATTTACCGTATGTGTCTAAGATATCTCATATATCTCGTTTCATTTATCACGAGCATTCTGATTTTTTTTTTATGAATGCACAAAAATCTGCAATCTACTTATCAATAATAATAATCATCAGCAATTTCCATCTGCACTTTTACCTCGAAGCGTAAAGTTTATACGATTTTAATATCGTCACTCATCTCGTTCGACCCTCTTTCTTGTTTTATCTTGAGAACTCGCGATATCACGAAGGAACGCCCAGTAGCGGGAGCAATTTGTCGAGCAAGTGGAACGCGAGACTCGCGTGCGTGCAATTTTATCGCACGGTATATCGGCTTGTAAAATTTTTCGCGATCCGCTCGCCGGGGAAAAACTGGCCGCAAGTCTCGAGAGCGAGAAAAGAGGGGAACGTGTCCGCGATAAAAGCGCGCCATTAAGGTAACAGCTTCCTGCGCAACGTAGTATTCCAGCTGGCAATTACCGAAGGGCATCAAAACTGGAGCTTATGTTAGCGAGTAGTTCGCAGTTAATTCGCGCTCCACGCTAAAGCTTCCCTCCCGGGGTTTTTTAATCATCAGCGGAAGATTCGAAAGGAAAAACAAAGAAAAAGAAGAAGAAGGAGAAGAGTTGTGCACGGCCATTTTCTCTTCGATCTTGTGAAAAATTAAAAGTTATAAATTAAAAAGTTATAAATTATAAAGTTATAAATTATAAAGTTACAAATTAAAAAGTTATAAATTATAAAATTATAAATTAAAAAGTTATAAATTATAAGTTATAAATTATAAAGTTATAAATTAAAAAGTTATAAATTATAAAGTTATAAATTAAAAAGTTATAAATTAAAAAGTTATAAATTATAAAGTTATAAATTATAAAGTTACAAAATTATAAAGTTACAAAATTATAAAGTTACAAAATTATAAAGTTACAAAATTATAAAGTTACAAAATTATAAAGTTACAAAATTATAAAGTTACAAAATTATAAAGTTACAAAATTATAAAGTTACAAAATTATAAAGTTATAAATTAAAAAGTTATAAATTATAAAGTTATAAATTATAAAGTTATAAATTAAAAAGTTAAAAATAAAAAATTTAAAAGTTATAAAATTAAAGTTATAAAAATTATCAAGTGGAGAACTGTTTCGCTGTTCTCTTAGGATTTACGAGAATTTTCTGGGGATGTTTTCTGCCTCTTAGGCACCGTTTTAAACAGAAAATTATATTTGCACTACTGTGTTTGAATATAATATAATAAATAAAATAATATTATATATATATATATATATATATATATAATATAATATAATATAATATAATTATATTAGGTCTAGGAAAGTTCTGTCCGATAATATCATTTCAAGTTTCAATACGTATGCACATGTTCATTTGAGACATACATATATGACAGTCTCGCTTCGTCATTGCATTTATACAAATGTGCTCTTTTAAATTGAAACAAAGACGTCTCGTATTATTATTAAGTGATAAGTGATATTATTACGCGATCGTGCATACATGGCTACCGATAAAGATCGATTTACGACACTCTATTCTGTACGAATTCCAACAATGAAGAAATGCTACAGAAGCGTGTAGAAATTTAGTGAAAGTTTTCGGTGAAGGTACAGTTTCTGATAGAACGTGCGTGAGATGGTTCGAAAAATTTGAAGCTGGTGATTTTGACATTAATGATAAGCCACGCTCTGGACGGCCATCTTTGATCGATGACGATATTGTCAAGATAGAGCAAGATCCTTTTTTGACAACATCAGAGATTGAGGAAAAGCTTAAGTCAGCTCAACAAACCATTTCAGACCATATTCGGCAATTAAAATTGGTAAATATTTCAGATGGATGTCTCATAAGTGAGGAAGTTAAGTGAGAAAAGATTTGAATGACCGAGTCGTCATATGCTCACTTGGAACAAAAACGAACCGTTCTTGGTTCTGGACCGGATGATAACTGATGATGAAAAGTGGATTAAACCTACGAAAACATCGTGAGGAAAAGAGCATACCTCCGCCTTTAAGCTTGACTAAGAGAATGTTGTGTATATGGTGGAACCAATACGTTACGAGCTTTTGAAACCTAACGAGAAGTTCAATCACTGTCAGCAAATGGATGGTTTAAACAAAGCACTCAAAAAAAAAAAGGACTTTGGACTCGTTAGAAGATCGCAGAGCTAGACTGGGAAATTCTGTCGCATCCACCATAGCTGGACCTAGCACCTTCCGATCATCACTTGTTTCTTTCCTAGCAAAATTTCTTGAAGGGAAAAAAGTGAAAGAATGAAGCAGATGTCAGCCAAGCTCGAGTTTTTCGCCTCTAACGACAAGACATTTTTCAAAAATGGTATTTACAAATTGCCGTCACGCTGTAACAACGAAAATTACATTGTACAATAAATATTACGTATGAAAAATTTATAACGTATAACGTATGAAAAATTTATTGTTTCCTTTCACCTCAAAAACGGACAGAACTTTCCAGTAGACCTAACATATATATATATATATATATATATATATATATATATATATATATATATATATATATATATATAAAATAAAAAAGAAGCGATAATAATTTTAAGAAATATTCCTCAAATATAAATATATATATATATATATATTTGAGGAATATTTCTTAAAATTATTATCGCTTCTTTTTCATTTTCGTTTGTTTTCAATATCTTTTACGTAGATGAAAAGCGACACGTTAATTCGAAGTATAAATTTGTTCAGAATTAACATTTACCAACTCGAGTGTCAGAAGAATTAAATCAAATTCCAATCAACGCAAGTGAAACCTATTCGTTGCATCCTATCATCTTTTTAATCAATTTACAAACTAACTGCAATAACATCCGCAATAAAGAGGAATTATCATTGAAGGATTTCGAATTATATTTTCATTAAACGCGAGTTGAAAATCAATTTAAAACTATTAACACGTTCTTCGAAGCTTCAAATCCAAAGTTTCTCGAGCGTGCAATTTGTTCGTTTTGATTAAAAACATAA